CATAAATCTGAATTGAGTTGGCAGACTAGTTGAATTTGATGAATTAAAGTCGAAGGACTGATTTTCAGAGTAATGGAAATGGTGTCATGAGATGTCGTGATAGAGTTTGTGTTCTAGATATTATTAAGTGAAGTAAGAGTATTAAGGTAGATGGAGTATCCACCCCGTTGCTATGAAGATGTAACCGGATTTGAGGAAATTATTTTGAGGGCCATAGATGAAAAGATAAGTGGTTGAGTTTGTATATGTTGGTTAGACTTGTTAGAAGTCTAAGAATAAACGTCAGAGACCGTTGGGTCCGATGCAACCGTTGAATATTCCAGAGTGGGGATCAGATATTATTCCCATGAATTTTGTGTTGGGTTTTCTGGAGAATTTGAGGGATATGATTTTACTTGGGTGATTTTGGATAGAATGACAAAATTGGCTCTTTTCCTAACAAGGAAGATTAATCATTCTATGTTGAAGCTAGCTGAGATTGTGCAAGAGACGACTGAAAAGATCCAAAGGATCCGAGAAATACGTGTTCTGAGAGTTACGATAGTAACTGGTGTTGGTCGAGCTTGAGGTCCCGGGAGCACACTTTGTTTCGTTGATCTGTAGCAGAGTGGCGCAGCGGAAGCGGGGAAAAAATAGCAGGTTAGACTGTTTTACCGCTGTCACTCGAGGGAATTTACATGATGTGGCATGTGCCTAAGTTGAAGAAGTACATTGATTTGGATGGATGGTGTACAAGTGAAAGGTAATTTGACTGTTGAGGCGTTGCTAGTTCAGGTGGATGAACGAGAAGCAACTTCGAGGTGAAGAAATGGTTTTGGTGAAAGTGATCTGGTTGGGAGCTGCTGGCGAAAGCTTGACGTGTGAACTTGAAAGCAAGATGCGGGAGTCTTATCCCGAGCTGTTTGATTGAGGTAATTTCGAGGACGAAATTCTTTTAAGTTTGGGGGAGTTGTAACGTCCGTTCTTTTTAAATTAATTATTTATGAATTGTTGGTGCGCCTTTATGTGGGAGTGTGTCTGAGAGGGTGGGTGGATGTCCTTAAAGTATAGGAAAACCATTTAATAAATATAGAGTTTGATAATATAATATGATTAATAATAAGGATAATTTAATAACTAGTAGTAATATTATATTACTATTATTATTATTATTATTATTATTATTATTATTATTATTATTATTATTATTATTATTATTATTATTATTATTATTATTAGTGGATGGAATAAAAAAGAGGGAGTTATTAGAAAAGTTGTGGGAAAAGAGGAATAACACGATAAACTGCTCAGAAAACCAAAATTGAGGAGAAAGGTTGAGGAAAGAGGAAAAAGGACGTGGTTGTGGAGAAAGTAAGAACAGAAGAATTGTCCATCGGTGAAATTGGAAGATAGTTGCAGGAGAGTTACTGTAGAACAGAACCAGAACCGGAAAGCGTAGAGTTGGCCTTAACTCTAAGGTAAGGGTGGGGTTCAATTCTATAACTGTGGGTATGATCGATTTCAGGTAGGGAATAGAATCATAGGGTTAATGTTCCCGTAGCAATATTCACATAGTAATGTTCCCGTAGTAATGTTCCTGTAGCAATATTCCCGTAGCAATGTTCCCGTAGTAATGTTCCCGTAGTAATGTTCCCGTAGGTTGAGAAATATTAAGGGTTAATGTTTGTCTACGCCTGAATTAGTGTTTATGTCGTTAGTTCTATGTAGTAATGTTGGGAATCGGCGCCGACACGCGCTAATTTCCCATTTGTTGAGAAAAGGTTGTTATTATGCTCTTACTTGATCGAATTCAGGTAGGTAATCGAATCATAGATATAGTTTCCGTTAATCGATAGATGTTAGGGACGAGGTTTGTCTGTGTAGGAATGAAGGTGTTATATCGTTAGTTTTGCACAATGTTGTATGGTTGCCCTTAATGGGGAAAGATTAGTTGCCCCGTAGTTAACGAACCTTTTCAGAAACTATAATTAATTTAGTGAGTAAAAGTTGTAATGTTGTTCTTACGATAATGTGCTGAATTCTTAATTGTCGAAAGTATGTTGTTATTGTTCTCGTATATTAACAGGTGGAAAATGATGATTTCATGAGTTGTATGAAATTATGATGCTCTGTTATGGACAGTTTGGTTGTAGGCCAAAAGCCTTGTTGAATTAGTTGTTGCGGTTATGTTGTAGTCCATAATAGTTGCATTTCATGGCATATCATCTTTGTTGGCCTGTATTGGCTATTGGATGGCCTGTATTGGCGACCCTTAGTGGCAAATTGTTGGCTGTATTGGCGGCCCTTAGTGGCAAAATTATTGGTTGCGCCTGTATTGGTGGCCTTAATGGCAAATTGGTACCACATGCATATGCACAGTTGAGTCGCATTTGTTGAGTTGCATCGTTGAGTTGCATTGTTGAGTTGCTGAATTGTTAATGCTAATTGTCATGGATTTTGAATACCGAATTATTGCGGTCTATTATGGATAATATTTTGCGATCTGTTGGAAGAATAATGTTGTGATAATATTCCGACATGACTTTTATCATGCCTTATGTTATATTGTTGATATCTCACCCTTTATGTTGTATGTTACCTCCGTTGGTGGTAACTTGCAGGTAATCCGGAATAAAGTGTAGCTTTCCATTTAAGGTTGCTGGTCGCTCTGATATGTAGCACTCTTGGGGGGATGAACGATTGATGTTATTGCTTTTATTTAATTTCCTTGTTGCTGAATTTTATCAAGTACTTTTCATTAAATTGGTGGCTGCTGTTAAGTGCCAAATGTTGGTTGGATGCACTATGTCGATGAATTAGTAGTGCTGATTTTTATGGTTGAAACTCGTTGTTTATGTTGAATTGATGCAAGATAATTACTTGTTGAATTTTAATGGATTTTTGTTGCAAGTTTCATGGTCTTGCTTTAATCATTCTAAATGTTGAAAATGTTTTATATTCCGCTGCAAATTAATAAGATGCCTTGTAATCGAGATGTTAGGCAAGTTGTTGTTTGTTCATCCAGGATTCTGTGCTATGTATATTTGCTAAATGCATGCTGTCTGATCAAATTGAAAAATGTATGTTCTCTGTAAGTTGAAACTGTGACACCTCTAATGCGTCCCAGAATTTGTGAGTGTGACGGTCGTCACAGCTCCATGACGCTCTTCATGACCACCACAGTCGTGACATCCATGACGGTCGTCATGAAACCTTCTTTTTGCTGCACTCTGATTGTTTCTGTTGTTTCTCTTATTTTTCCGCGAGAGTTTAGAGTGGGGTGTTACAACTACCCCACACCAAGGGTAGCTCAAACACACCAAAACCTCAATCAACACATATAATCACGCAACGTCATATAATTTAGTTACGAAAATTAAATAAAATAAACTGAGGTGTTACATTTGCTCCTCCAATGATCCAATGCAGAAAACTTGATGCCATACTTGATGTTTTTGAATTTAATTTGGTTCTCTATGATGCATGAATGAAGCTTTCTCTTAAAACATGGACTACAACACACGACTACATCGAATGATTCTATTAAGTGTCACATTCTTACAAGATGCCAGATGTCGTAGGAGCACCACTTATACTAACTCATCAAGTGATATCTGATGATCACTAGACTAGAGATGACTACACCCATGATGTGTTGTCGGTCTGTCAGCGTATCATAGAGATTGGAAGAGGAGACATAAAGTTTGTGCAGGTTTAAGAAAGCACTCCTGCAATCGTATATGTCATGATGGTCAAAGCACATAATATCTTAATACAAGAGGCAAAGAAGAAATTAGGGGGCTCCAGTTAGATATTGTATTTCATATTATTATTTGTATATGCATGTGTATAGCTTGTATTTTATATTATTATTTGTATATGTATAATGATAACATTTATATTAATATTTGAAGTTATATAAGATATTCTTAAATTAAATTAGTGGTTGTAGTTTTATAATATCCTTAAGATAAATGGTCCAAATATTAATTGGCCAGAAAAAATATCAATTTTAAGAATTATACAAAAACTCTCAAAGGCTTTCGGATGTTATTTTAGAGTTATTTTAGAGATGTATCTAGATAATCACTCTAATAAAATAATTAGAGGTGATAATCACTCTAATAAAAAAATTAGAGATACACCTCTAAAGATCCTAAAAGCATTTGGAATAAATGGTTCAGATGTTATTCTAGAGATGTATCTAGATAATCACTAATAAAAAATTAGAGAAATACACCTCTAAAGACCCTAAAAGCATTTGGAATAAATGGTTCAGTGATGGTAATTTTTATAAATTTTATTATAAAGATGTATCTAGATAGTTACTCCAATAAAAAATTCATAAAAAATTAAAGACATACACCGTAAAAGCATTTGGAATAAATGGTTAAGAGATGGTAATTTTCCCGAGATATGGATGGCAATGTGTTCACTTTCATTGGGTTCAACAAGCTGAACTTATAGGTCAAGGCATGCATATAGTTAATTACTATTCAGATTCGAATAGACTTGGTTCCTAAACCGCCTATGAAACTCCATAACCTTACTTCCTTATAGTCATTTTCAAGAGATTCTTAGTAAAGAGTGAAACATCACTATCAAACATTACTTTTGTGAGGGGAACGCTTACGCAAACTATCTTGCTAAAAATACAAACAAACAAAATTTCTTCCTACAAAACAAATGCTAATCACTTGACCAATTCAATTTCCATAAATATTATATGCATAACTACTTTATTATTTTATTTTGCTAATCACTAGACCAATTCAATTTCCATAAATGTTACCATGATTTTCTATGAACTTAGACATCAAGTAAAACCATCCACACATACATAATTTTCACACAACAATTTGCAATCAAATTCCAAAACAAATACTACGGATCCTCTTGAACATCACAGGTTCAATTCACACTCTTATTTATTTATTTATTTATTTATAATACTCTACTATATTTAAATATATTATATTATATTATTATATATACTTATCATATTAAGTAATATTATCTTTTCATTTCTTCCTCTTCGGGGAAGATGGTGTGTCATTATTATCCACCGCATCATTTCCAGCTGTATTACTATTATTATTCCCATGCTGCTGCTGGTTTTTCTGTGCTTTTCCTGTTTTCTTCGCCTCTGGTTTTGCTCCTTGTTGCCTCACCTTAACTCCTCTTATCATCTGCATCACAAATTATATTCCCACCAATTAATTTTCACCTTTTTTAAAAATTAAAATCTAATCACTTAATAACTTTATAGATCTCAAAAAAATAATAATAATATCATAAAAAGTTTTAAATAATAGAGGCGGTCGTATATGCTGTAATACTAATTGCGATTTTAAATAATAGAGGCGGTCTTATATACTGTAATACTATACTGTAATACTAATTGCGCATGTGCTGTAATACTAATTGCGATCATTCTGATGTACCGTTTTGTTGCGATTGTTTGGACAGTTTTCTAAAACCTTGACAATAATATTTAGAAAAAGAGAAGGGTCTTACAAATTTGCCACACTTCACGTCAGAATACAACACTATGAAATCACCCTCTTGGAGTCCATTAGCTTTCACAAAGTCACCTATAAAATAAAATTAATATAAGAAACAAAATCGTGAAAAACAAAACACAAAAGGCACCAAACTCAAATGAATAAGTACAACAACTCACCAGTGTTTTCAAGTAAATACATTCTGCTTTTGTTATTTGGCCAATATCTGATGCTCCAAGAAGAAATAATAATTCAAAAAGAGAAAATTTTAGTCCCAATGCATCATCATATATGTATAAAAATAAAAACAATTCTGTCCATGAAAGTTTGCTTAATTAATTTAATTAATTACCTATAGCGCATATTCCAAACTCTAGAAGTTCCGATATCTTCCATTGTAATGGAAATTCCGTCTCGCGCCTCGAGTTCGGGCAAATGAGTTTCTGCCTCCTTCTGTTCAAGTTTTGCAACCAAATGTATGAATCAATATAAAATTAATCCATACAAATACAGTAAATAATTTATTAGAGAAAATAGAAAAAATAGTTACCTTTGGCAAAACAATTCTCCCTAAACTTCCAACATCACTTTGCTTCAACACCTTTTGTAGAAGGAACTTCAAGTTCTTCTCCGGTTTCCAACCCTATAAATCGAACATTGGTTATAAGTTGCAATGACCACAATTTATAAGTTATATAGCTATAAAGCACAAACATAGACAAGGGCATCTGACCCGACATCGACATCGTTAATTGGTTATAAGTTGCAATGACCACAATTTATAAGTTATATAGCTATAAAGCACAAACATAGACAAGGGCATCTGACCCGACATCGACATCGTTAATAATTTGAAAATATAAATAAATTGAATATAATCACATGTATTGATGTCTTGTTAATGTACAGACACGCCATTTTTGCAGTTCTTGAAGTGTCTGTGTTTCAGAGGTTATAGATACAAATCAGACTCATTAACAAATAATATCTTTGAATAATCGCGCATTTGTGACGTTCATTAACAAATTATCTTTGCATATTCGCGCATTTGTGATGATCAGAAAGTTGTAATATTTATAACCAATACAAATAATGTGACACTAACTTGATAAAATCATGGTTCACAAACCTGTTTCTTATCTGATGCATTTCGACCCTGATGAGAATTCTGTGTCAGATTGTTGGTGCGATCGCGTTCCACCGGAGGCAGCGTCTGCTCATCCCGAACAACAGGTGCCAAGGAAGCTGCTTTCCCACCAGCCATACTCTGCCAATACATCCAGTTAGCTTGATTTGCATGAGAACCAACCCCCACACCGTTGGTGCAATTATCACCACCACCAACCAATCTAGCAACCGAATCAGAACCTTGATGATGATTCCTATGATGAGAAACAAACCTTCTTTGTCTCGCCATTCTCTTCTTCCTAGCTTCTTTTGTTGCAGAAGGACCTAACCTCATTAACCTATCACCACCACCTCCATGAAAAAACTGATAAGAACCATATTGATTTCCATATCCTCCAAAACTCACCCCATGAGATTGTAGAACATTGCTGTTGTTATCAACAAACGACGGTTGATTGTAGTTTGGAACAACATTAAATTGATGATACTCATTACTAGAACCTTGTTGGTAAAGGCTATTCGAAACGGAACCATTTGTGTAATGAATATCACCGACATATCCAACTCCAACCATCGGTTGCGAAAACTGTTGTGGAGGAACAACAATAGGTGTTTGTGTTTGTGTTTGATCCATCCATGAAGTTTGGTTAAAACATGTGTTTGTCGTGTTTTGGTTCGGACATAGATCTTGAAACTGCGGTGGCGGTTGTTGAGGAACAAGATTTGAGGTTGTTGTGTTATTGTTGTTTTCTTTGAGCCTCTTGTTTTGAAGATGACTAGTTTGAACCCATTCAAGAATAAGCTTCAACAATTGTTTCATCCCTTCTTTTCCACCACCTAATCTTCTAGCAGCACTTTCAATTGTCGATTTCTTAAGCTTCACATTCCTCAAATCATTCGCCGATACACTATCTTTGTTAGATTTAAGCCACTCCAAAAAAACATTACTCATTTCATCATTAACACCACATGCACCATCATTAACACCATCAAAATTGAGGTCTAGTTTTGTTTCACTCTCATCATGCACCACTATAGGAACATGTTGATGTTGTTCTTGTTGTTGTTGCACTAGAACTTGTTCTTGTGAGAAATCATCAACTAAAGGGTTTTCATCATCGGTTTGAAAAATCGAAGCCGGGTCAAAAAAGTCATTAGCTTCTAAAAGCTCCATGTAACCAAAAGTATCATCCATCATAACATCCTCCATGCAATCACCAACACCAAGCTCTTGTTGTTGTTGTTGTTGTTGAGGAATCTCTATAGACACAGTTGTTGCATGTTGACCATGATGATGATGATCTAATGGATCATGCTCATGCATGTTCAAAAACACATGATTATTATTATCACAACTCTTCATTTTCTCACCATGATGATGATCTTCTTCAACTTCTGATTTCAAAACAGCCCAAGAAGCTGCAGAGGAAGAAGCAGACGAGGAAGAAGATGTTGCAGTTGTAGTAGTAGTTGAAGTAGTAGTACATGCAATGGTTTTCAATGGTGTAGAACATGAAGATGATGATGATGATAATGATGATGAAGAACAAGATGCTGATGACATGCATGGAAAATCAGGTAAAGATGGAAAATCAGCATAGAACACAGATGCATCATCATTCATATTCATACCTAAAAGATCATCATCATCTTGATGATTTGTACTATCATCAAGCCAAATCTCTCTCTCAGAAACCGCTACTAAATTTTCTTCCTCTCTTAAACTTCCAAACCCATCTTCTTCTCTTTCATTCACCATCTTTGCATGCAGATCTAAACAAGTTTCAAACTTTATAACACTCTTTTGTTCAACTATTCTTCTGGTGCAATTTTTTCTCGCAGATAGTGTATGAAATATGAACTATTTGAGGAGAGAGAAAGTAGATAAAAATGGATAATTTTTTATGTACTTATCAAGTACAAAAGGAAAAGATCTGAAACATTGTGAAGTTGTTGGGTCTAATTAAGGAATCAAAACAAGATAAGATTCTTTAAAATCCTATAAATGGATTATGCAACAGAAAACATCTGATTCTCCTCTCAACAAATAACACAGTCCAAGTTGGATTTATCATAACATAAAATATATTAAATTATTAATAATGAAAACCCTCTCTTACCTTCAATGAAAGCGACTTTCACTACTCCAACAAGTGATTTTTTTTTAATTGATTTTTTTATCAGACAATCCTATACAACAACAATAAAAAAAAAATACAACATAGGATTTTTGAAAGAACAAGGATGAAGAAATTGAAAGGACTAAACTTGATTTCCTTGGCTATTATCAAAACTTCAGATTTAGACAGAGAAACAAAGAGAGTAGTGAACAAGGTTAATGATTGTTTCTTCACAAACCCAGATAAAAAACCAATCAAAATTTGATTGGAAACTTAAACTCAGTCTTCTTAGAAACCTAGAAACCAAAACCAAAAACAAAACCACCCATGTGTGTATATTCTGGTTGTTCTAGGAAGTTACAAGTATTATTTTTTTTCTTGTCTTTTTAAAAAATATTTTATTTTCTCTTTGTTAGATAAGTTCAAAATGGTTTGGTGGTTTTTGAGAGAAAAGGTAGTTTTGGTTTTGAATGAAAGGAATGAATAAAACAAGATTCTTGTGCCGCTAGTTTTGTCAAATGTGGTACTTGGGATTCTGTGTTTAATAGACATTCGTTGAAATCTTAGTGGTGATACTAAACGGTGACACAGTCTTTATGAGAAAGTAATAGGTCTTCTGCTGCACTAAGAGAAATTTAATTTTATTTGGTGACCTTTAGATTTATGACATTTATTTTTAAGATGTATTAATTTTGTTCTACCAAAAAATCTTATTTCTACGATTTGTTAGAGTGTTAACCATCTAGTTGTATAGAGAAAATGTCATGATAATTGAGAGTTATGTCAAGAAATTAATAATAGTTTAAGGAAAAAGGGCGATGCACTACCATATAAATATTTTTTAAAATATTAATCAATCACAGATGATACATCCTGCGATGCACTACCATATAAGTATTTTTAATAATATTAATCAATCACGATGATACATATTCTATTAAATTGGATTTGAAAATTTTAAATTAATTATATGATTTTAAATTAATTATATGATATAATATAAGCTTTTTTTACATAACTCATAATTTAATGATTTAATGTAAGAGATTAATACACTGTCATTGTAAAAACATTTTAGAATGTGATCCAATTAAAATAAGTCTTTTTGACACATAATCATTTGAATTAAAAATAAAAATAATATATAATAATTAAATTATTTTAACAAGTGACTCTCCCACTTTTTTTCTCTTTTAATTTTCATGTTTATGTGTCAAAAGAATTAATTTAATTAAATGACAGTATAAAGTTATTTTACACTAAAAGTATACTTTAATTAATCTCTTAATATAATTTATTTATTTTTATAAAATAAATTTAATTATGTATTGATAAACTATTCAAAATACAAGATGTATAAAAAATAAGAAAAACATGAAACAACAAATTTATTGATAAAAAGTATCAACAAATACAAATTATACAATAGATTGATTTATGTATTTTTAAAATTATTTTTTATAATTATTTTAAAAATATTTTAAAAAAATTAAATTCCTTTTTTTATAAAATTAAAGTTTAATTTTGATATTGTGTAATACACATATACATTATTGAAGTTATGGGTGAAATGGCTCAATACCTACTACATCAAAAATCATGATGTGATATCATGAAATCAACCAAAAAATTGCTCCATAGCAAACGATGGGATAAACTGCACATTGGGAAGAAGCTATGCAAATACGGAAACATGATACAACATATGTATGTGGCAACGCGAAAAATACCCGAGCGAACGAACGCTCAAAATCAACAGAGTCGCCACCGACATTTTATTTTTAACGGAAAACGTCGATAAAATCCTTTAAAAACAAAAACATGGTTAACGGGAAATATATTAGCATCACGCAGCATCCATTGTGCCTAACGAGAACTGTTTAGTTAGTTTTGCGAATTTGAGTGTTAGCATAATATTTTATTTTTCTTCTAATTATTATAAAGTATTTACAATGGGAAAATTAGATTTTTTGGGTGCTTGACGAGACGTTGAATATCGCTCTAACGTATCCCCATGTGCGATGAAAAACTCAAAGCTATGTAGTTCTGGCTAGCAAATGTTTATTCGTTGGTGGATTTTAGTGAAAGTTGTTTAAGTCAAATTCGAGCGAAAAACATTGCTTGCTACCCACATATGAGAGTAGGGAACGTTGTTTATGTTTCGCGTCATAATGGACAACATGATCTGGAATCTCTCGGATTATGTTTTTCATCGCATTCGAGTGGGAAAATGTTGTTTGTTACTCGCGCATGGGATGATTAAAATTTGTTCATTCTAGACGAAACAGATGTTTATTCGATCATCAGTTTAATACGAGTTTTAAATATTTTAAGTGGAAGATGAACAATCGACCTTGAATAAGGTGTTCACCTTGAGCCAAATATTCTAGGACAAAGCAGATGTACATCTAATCATCCATTTTTTCTCTAATTATATTTGATTTAATTTACTAAAAATAAAAATGGACTTACTTTTTTTAATATTTGTTTAACAATTAGTTATAATGCAAATAAATAAATCAATTAACAACAAACAAAAATAAAAGGAAAGGCCTCATTTGTTAAAGAAACAAAAGAAAAGGGTGAGAAAAAAAATAATACAAACAAAATATTAAAATAAGAAAAAAAAATAAAAGCAATTAGGAGCCGCCTCCCTTATTTCCAATCCTCCCATTTTTAAATAATATAAAAAAAACAAATAAGCAAATCATAATTAATATAAAAGATTTTTCTTGTTGACTTTTTCAAAATCAAAACCATAACCAATGAAAAGGGGACACGTAGGCATTTTTATGAAAATTAAGAAAATGGACCAAAAGGTTAATTAAGAGAGAAAACGCAACCCCAAATTCCTTTTCTCATCTCACGTTCATACGAATGTCTTTTTCTTTGAAAACAAAACAAACATAGAACAACACTTGTCTAAATCACTATATTTCTCACTCAATTTCTTTCAAAACACAAAAATAAAACTCAATAACAAGCAAGCTAAATCGTTCAGAAACTATAACATGTGATTTACTAGCACCCGAGACCGAAGAGGGTGTAAAATGGATGTAACATTGGAGGTTGAAGAAGGCGGAAAGTGGTTATTAAACTCGCATCGGAATGAGAGGGATCCTGAGGCAATACAGGATGAGACTGCATGGTTGAAGGATAGCTTATAAGGATTGGTTGGTACTTACCTATACCAATAAGATGCATCTTCTTTTCAGTATCCTAACAAATATGAAATTCATAGTTAAGCGTGCTTGACGTAGAGCAATATTTGGATGGGTGACCTTCTGGAAAGTTTCTTAGAAAGTGTGTGAGTGAGGACAAAACATGCTGAAAAGACCCGTGTTGGTTTGTGGGGTCACTCGGTAATCTTGAAAGTAGTATGAGGTGTTACTAATGGTATCAAAGCCAGACATCTCTCAGTATGATGTGATTTGAGGATGAACCAAGCGGAAGCTGGTGGCATGTAACACACAAGACCGAAGAGAATGAAGAGTAGATGTATCACTTTAGGCCGAAGAAGACGGAGAATGGTCGTTGAATTCACACTGGAAACAGAGGGATCCTGAGGCTATGTGATCGCGACTTTCTATGTCTAATACAACCTAACTGCAAGTGCACAGTCTATCGCGTAGTAATAATAGATATCGATCCCACAGGGACTCGTAATCAAACTAGTGTTTTCGGGAGTTACTATGTTTAGCTAGGTAGAATATGTTTAAGGGAATAAGATTGTCACTATAAGGGAAACTAAGACGGTTACTTAGATTATAATTGATTGAATCGATATGCAGTAATTGTGTTCTTCAGGGATTTGACAAGTTACCAGTGTATGAAATAATTTTCAAAGTTTATTTAAGCAGAAAATGGTGATTTGAAGACTCTCGCCTCACGATGGTTATTGACGCTAATCATAATTCTAAGGGTCAAACGTACACTTTCGTATCCCATTCGGGGTTAAAATTATTTTTTGGAAATCTCTAAGTTCTAATTCATTTTAAAGTGCTTTCGCTGTTATTAAAATGAATGACTCGTGTTTACTATCTGATCTTACCGCAGCTTTCGCTTGTTGGTTCGTATCTTAATTAATTTCCCACTTTCGTGGCAAAACTACTTTTAAATAAGTTCTCGCTTTCGCGACGAAGTTTATTCAATAAATTAATTTTAAACACTCAGACCATAAATTACTTTTGAAAAGACAATTTTCCACCAGTTGTTATCAAATCCCATTCGAATTATTACCACATATCGATTACTTAAATTTAGCTAGACATGGATTTGGGAAAGATGAAACATAAATAAAAACAATAAATAATAATATGCATTATAATAAAACTGGAATGACGATTGAGATGAGAAACCTGTAAATATTCCAATTGGCCTTTGGGCAGATCCTCCACAAATGTTGGCAGGATTCTGGTCTTTATGCCAATTTGATCGTACAATAGAAGTAGAAATTACAGAAGAATGAAAGGAATGCAGAAAAAGTAAAGAGAAATAAATAAGAATATTAAACTGGAAAGGTTGCTCTGGAAATAAATTTGGCAGCACTTCGTTGTATGAATGCGGCTCCCTTTCTGAGGTCCCCTTCTTCCCCTTTTATAGAAATGGAATTCTAACGGTTATAATTGGAGAGGGTGGA